ACGTACTTGGATCTTTGATCCTACTCATCTTACGATGAAAATAAGATTTTTTTAATTTGTGCTTATATTTAATATTTTTAATATTATTTAGTATTGAAAGTAATAAAAATTAATGTTAATATTATCACAAATGTTATGTATAATATTTTAATTTTTTAATATTAAACCCCTAGTATATAAAAATTACATTTATTTTTAATTAATTCAAAATCTCAAAATCGAATAAAGTTAGATTCACCATAAAAGAAGTTTTTTCAACACCATCTCTTCATTAACAAAATTAATTTGAATTTAAAATATTATTTAAAAAAAACAAACTCTTTCTACTAAAATTAATAGGTGATTAGTATCATTTTATTTTTTTAATACTAATTAATAAATTTTATTTTTTAATATTAATTAATGTAAAAAGATACAAATTTCCGTCTTTATGTTTTGATCTTAAACTATTATTGTTAGTTGTTTAAAATTATAAAAGCTTGAACTTGATGATCTTTATCAAAGTTTCTATAGTAAAGTACGAAGTTGCTGGCACTTGTAGTATTAGCCGCAATGAAAGTGTAGCAATGACCTTGATCTCTTTGTCAAGGGTTCAAGCTGCAACTGTAATATTATTGTAACTCTTCCCTCCAAATTCCACAATTCCCACCGTTCGAAAAAAAAAAAAAAAAAGTGGATGCTGCTGTAAATCAAATGAATCCAAAAAGTCCTTATCATATAAATACAATAAAACTTTCATTTTACTTTTGCATGCATAATTGCAAATTAATATTCTCTTACTATTGTGTTCTTATAGTTTTAGGTTGTGTTGTTGAAAGAATTTAAAATTCTGTTGTAGTCAAAGACGTTTGGGAATTTGTTTTTCAATAGAGTATATCAACAAATAAAAGCTAAAAACTTTAACTTTGAGATCTCATATTCACAATAGCAAATATTCTATTGTAGTCTTTTACTAGATATATCCCATGAAATTAAAAAAAAAAAAAAATGTTGTGGCTTCTATTATCTATCCCTCTAGAGTCTAGACCATTACATAAAGGTAATTTAGAAATGGAAATTGAATTAATTTTTTTTATTACAAAATACCTCTTAAAAATCTTTATAGATTCAAACGAAACCTTAGAGCTAGTTATATTATGTTTGAAACAATGAATTATAGCTATGTTCTTTTTAATCCTTTTAGCCGTTAGCAATGAATTGTAGCTTAGTATTGGTGTAAATAAATTCCATTTGACTGGATTAATGTTGAAAACAAGAGTGGACAACTTAAGTCCTTAAGGGGGTCCATTTGAACAGAGGCCAACGGCCCAAACTAATAATAACGAGTTGGGTTGGGACTAAAATGTTTCAATCACATCGGCCCATTTACAAATCCTGTGTCGGGTTGGGCAGATGCTAAAAGTCGTGGGAACTCAGGCCCACTTACAGTGGAGTTTGAAGCCGTCAATTGCGGAATAAATAAAGCGTCTTTCTATTTAGAAAATTCCACAAATAAAATTCCATGAATAAAAAACGGGTACTGGTGATTGGGGCTCGGGGAACTAATAAAAGTTATTCAAAGAAGGGACAGATTCGCGCCAAGTGGTGGTTCACGTAAATTCCTGCCATCTCTTTCTCGTTATATTCCTAATTTCCACTTAATTTAAAAAGTGATATATAAGGATAATTTTTTTATTTTATTTTTTATATAATTTTTATATATTATTAAATGAGTAAATGTATTTAATATTATAGGTCGTATATAAATTAAAAAAATTAATTATTTTAATAACACGTCAAATTATATAAAAAAATTATACAAAAATATTTTCCTAATTAAAATATAGAACTTTATGATAATTGCCTATTTTCAAAAATAAAAATAAAAAGAATATAGAACTTCATAGCTTTTTGAAAAAAAAAAAGAATATAGAACTTCATAGATTAAATTGGTTACCTTGTCTTGTCTTTTTAAAAGTTTTGAGAAAAATTATTTTACAATTATATTATTTTAATAAAATTTTATTAAAAAAATTAAAATATTTTATTTTCAAGATAAAAATTAACTTGTTTTTAGTTTTTTTTTACATAATATTTTATTAAAATAATATAATTTAAAAATATTTTTACTTCTAATTTTTTTAAAATAAGATAAATAAACAGTAATTTTATATTTATATATATTAAGAAGATTCAAACTTTTAATTCTCTTAAGGAAAATGATTTCTTTTTTTTGGTAAGCTTTAAAGATAATGATTCGTACGCACTAATATTTATGAATATTTTCTCAATTTATATATTAAAATATAACATAAATACAATTAATTCAGTCAATTTTTACATCATGTTTACATTATTGCACTTTTAAATTTTTTTTAATTTTAATTTTATATTAAAAATAATAATTTTTTAATAAATATATTTATAATATGTTGAAGTAGACTAACTAATATTCTTTTCCTTAATCCTAATCCATGATCTCTTTTTTAAAATAGAAAAAAAAAGGAGAAAATTTTAAAAATTTACTAATAAAACTGTACTTGGACAATGAAATATATCATCATAATTAGAAACAGTTAAAACCACCACACATGAAAAGCACAAAATCAACGAAAACAAAGAAAAGAGAATAGAAGAATGGATTATCCTCAACTCAACTTTCCATCACGCCGGTTACAGGAGGCCATAGAGTTCCTTTCAAGTTCCTTTCGCAGTTGTCAATAGATGAAAGCTCCCGAATCAATTTTCTCTACCATTTTTTTTTTCTTTGAGTTTATAATTAAATGAGAAATGCTTTTTGCATAATTTTTTTATCTTATCTTTTTATATAATCTGATGTATTACTGAAATAATTGATTTTTTTAATTCATGTAGTTCCTGTGATATTGAATACATTTACTTATTTAATAATATATGAAAGTTATATAAAAAATAAAATAAAAAAATTATCCCTATAACACTACCCTAATTAAATTATGTTACAATGATATTTAAAGGTGGATTCAAACTCCACATTTCTGACATTTATTAGTATAAAACCTCTTCAAAAATTCGTTCATGGCTTTAATTTGCACATTACAGAAGCATTTATTTTAATATTTTTGTGAATTAATTAATTATTTTAATTAAATAAATTAAATATTTTAAATTATAATTAATACTATCGAATATTGATTATAAACTATCAAATATTTGAATTGATAATTCACACACCTATGGTGAAACTGATCCGCACTTTTTTTTTTAAAAAAAGACGAAATATATTAATGGAGTAAAAAATGTACTTAAACTCATTTACAGCTATGGTAAGAAACTGATCTGCACTCGCTTAAAATTAAATAATCTTAATTGCTATTCCAATAAAAAATCAAATTCTCAAGAATCTGAAACAATCCAATTCCAACATAGATCTCCCACAGCGGATATTAATTTACAGGTGTCACAAACCCACATTCACTCCTATAAAACCGCGATGAGTCGCATCGTATTAACAAGCCAAACGCAGCCAGATCTAAAAACTACGAGTAAAACAACTTCTTCCTCTGATGTTGCCAATGGACAGGGCAGGAAACTTTGTGCCGGAGATCGTGGCGAAAGCCACCCTCACCGATGTCAACGTGAAGAAATTCAGCCGGGAAGAGGTCGAGTTAAACGCCAAGGTCTCCGTCAACAACCCCTACGGTTATCCTCTTCCCATATGTGATTTCTCCTACGAACTCAAAAGCGCCGGCAGGTTAGATTCACTTTTTTCCAGATCTGTTTTTGGGTATATATATAATTTTATGGATCGATGTCATTACATTATATACATTGGGCGAAGTACAGGGCGATTGTGTCGGGGTATATGCTGCCGGATCCGGGGTTGTTGAAGGCGAGTAACACGACGATGCTAATGGTATCGGTGAAGGTGCCGTACAGCATACTAGTGAGCTTGATAGGGGATATTGGAGCGGATCGGAATATAGATTATGAGTTGGAGGTGGGTCTGACGATTATCGACATTCCGATCATCTCTGACCTGAGAATCAATCTATCCACCAAGGGCAAGCTTAAGCTTCCTACCTTCCCATCTCATCTGCCAAGTTCAACGGGGCCCGTGGGGTCGGGGAGTCTCTCCCCGTCCTCGTCTCCGTCCGCGCCGATGACAGGGACGGAGATCCCCGCGGAGATTTTTAACGGAGGTAGATTTTGCTCCATCTGATTCCCCGTGGATTCCTATTCCCCACCAATTAATATCTAAATATATATTTTTTAGATCCACCATAAATAAAGATTAATTGGTGAAGTTCAAACGTTCCCTGGCAGTAGCAGCTGCAATTCAACAAACCACAATTGGTGTCAAAGCGGCTATCACGCAAGATCAAAATTTGTAAAAATTGTAAAATTGAAGATGCAGAAAGTAGCAAGGAACCACAGAATCTACAGACCCTTAAAACATACGAAAATCTAGATTGAAAAAAAGAATCCTAGATTCATCAATTATCTTATTAGCAAATTAGTAAAATAATCAAAATCACATGCAAATTCTCTGTAATCAAGACAAATTACATATTAATAAAATAGAAATCCAGAATTGAAAAACATCCAAACATGCTCCCATTGATCATATGAATATCACCCAATCAATCAAGATTGGAAACATCAAATTCAAAGTCAGATTCACATCCAAACAACACAACACAAAGATACCAGTCCAAATTTCACTGATTTTACCGTCTTGAGGATTTCCATAATTGACATAAGCGTTGGCAGGGGCGCAGCAACGGCGCAACAGCGGTGCAGTGGGGGATTTAAGGTTGAGATTTGTAGGGGAAGGCCAAAGGGGTGAGAGACACAGAGAGTCCAAGAGTGAGAGGAGGCAGAGGCAGTGTGAGAACTGGAGAAATGAATAAGGTAGGGGAGGGCCAAAGGGGAAGGTCGAAGGTGACCTAGGTGACAGACATAGAGAGTCTAAGAGTGAGAGGCGGCAGACTCGGGCAGAGGCAGTGTGAGAAGTGAGAACTGGAGAAATGAAGGTTAATTAGGGTTAAAAGGATTGGGTTGGGTTGGGTTGGGTTGTGCTGAAAAAAATTGGGTTAAATTTTGTTTAATTGGGTTTGGGTTTCGCAATTATATTAAATTTAAAATGAAATTAATTTATATTATATATATATATTTTTTAATTTTTCGTGAGGATAGGATCTCCACAAGGTCCTGTGGGACGGGAAAAATTTCTCTTAAAATTTCATAGGGGAAAAATACCTCTTGTCCTCGCTTCATGAGAAAAAATATTTTTCCCCGCTCCATCCCCATAACGGGAATCCCCACGAGACCCAGCGGGTATCGAGGCAAATTTTCACCCCTACATGAGAGCAATTTAATCATTACAAATATATTCTTGACATCGTGTATAAATACTGTAAACCCTAATCAAGTCAATACATGAGCGACTATTGTCTTTGAGGTATGAAAGCACCATAAGTCCACCCCCTTCACATCTTCTATCTCCATCTTCTAGGTTGCCTCAAGCCCAATCGGCCTTTTCTCCGTGCACCCACCTCTCCAGCCTTTCTGCGCAACCTGCAGCTTCCATCTCTGCCGATTTTGAACCAGTGGCACCTTATTCACCCGAGCCCGTGGCACCCATAGCACAACCCGCGGCACCTACGGCACCCATTTCGGCTTCCCCTGTGGCCATCGGTCCTCTTTTGTAGCCCAATTGTCCGCTGCCTGCTTGTAGAACCCACTCCATGGTGACCCGATCGCAGGATGGTACACGGAAGCCTCGGATCTTGCCGTCTATGGTTACTGATCATGTTTCTTTACAGGAACCTCATTCTTTCAAGCAAGCTCAACAATTTTAAAAATAAGATAGATAAGTACAATTTTATTTTCATATTAAGAAGATTCAAACTTTTAATCTCTTAAGGAAAATGATTTCTTTTCTTGGTAAATTTTAGAGAAAATGATTTTGGGACAAATTTTTGAATTATCTTTTAATATAATTTTATATATTATTAAATTATTGACTCTTTTCACTTTATTAAAACTCATAATATTATATATACCAATTCTCATTTAATAACATATATATTGTAATTAAAATTTATAAATAAAAATGCAAATAAATTATTTGTATATCACTATCAATGTAAGGAAATCATCTTACTCAATTCAACACATTTTATGGATGCTCATCCCAATTTAATTATTAAAATATATTTTATTTTTCTTTCTATTCTTTAACTCCAAAAAAGGGATTAAAAAATGTATCCAAAAAATAATATAAATATAGTTAATTTAGTTAATTCTTGCATCATATATATATGATTGCATTTTTATAATTTTTTTACTTTTAATTTTATATTAAAAATAATAATTTTTTAATAAATATATTATATAATATGTTAAAATAAAGTATATACCAATTAATATTCTTTTCCTTAATCTATCCTAATCCACGTTCTCTTGTTTTAAAAAAAAAAAAATTACTATTTTTTTTAACAACAAAAGAAGTTTATTTATTTATTTAGAGTACAAGGGGTACTCTAAACCCATATTACAAAGAGGGGAGAAAACACAACCCAGGCTCTAATAGTTCTATGGTTTGGAAATCACATTTTTGTTTTGAAGGCTACAAGACTGCTCAATCATGGTTGTTGTATACAATTTGAGAGTGTGATCCCCTTCCCTTCACCTTTGAGTTTGAGCCACTGGTATGAAGAGGCCTGCACCAAATCAAATAGCTTCCCCTCATCCAAGCATTTGTTCTGAAATATTACCTCATTTCTTGCCAACCAGATGGTCCATGTAACTGCAAACCATATAATGTTCCAGCCTTTTTTGATAGTTGCATTGGTGAGAAGATCTTTGTGCTAAGTGAAGGTGTCCCAACAAGTTTTTGGCATTACATGTTCGATTCCCCACCAACAAAAGCATTTTTACTAGAGCTTAAAGGTTGTTTTGCAATGAAGAAATAGGTGCTTTGAGTCTTCAACATCACCATTGCAAAAGACACAGTCAAGTCCATCATGAGAGTTGCACACTCCTCGTTTTGACAAGTTGAGTTTGGAGGGTATACGATTTTGAATTAATTTCCAAGTAAACGCACAAACTTTGGTGGGGATATTACGATTCCATATTCTGGAGCTGATGCTGGGATCTATAGATTCACTATCAACGACAAGTAAGGAGTAGGCTTTACTAGTGTTGTACATACCATCTTTGTTGTGTTTCCAGCTCCAAGTGTCCTAAATCCCATGTTGGAGTTTAACCCCATTTAGAATAGTCATAAGGGAATCCATTTGGGCTCTTTCTCTATGCAAAGGCTTTCTCCTCCATGGAAGTTTCCAGATCCAAGTGCCATTCGTCCAATTCCCCATTTGGTTAACTGAATGTTGTTGACTTGTAGATAATAAATACACTTTAGGAAATTTGTCAACGAGAGGCCCACACCCAGCCCAATCATCCCACCAGAATCTAACTAATGCTCCTTCTCCAATTTTTAATTGAAACCCCCCCTTTAGCCACTCATTAGCACCGCCCCCCAAATCTCCTAACTTACATAAGCCTCTCCACCAAAGTGAGCCCTTATCATTGCCCTCCCCTAATGAACACAGCCAATTATCTCTATTATGACTATATTTCTCTTGAATTAATTTACTCCATAAGCTAGCTTCTCCTATGGCCAATCTACCACACCATTTCCTAAACGAGCTAGGTTGAACCTCTGAAGATTTCTCACCCCAAGCCCTCCCTCAAGCTTGCTTTTGTAGACTCTTTCCCATTTCACCTAGTTAATGACTCTCTTATCCTCCTCTCCCCCCCATAAAAAATTACGTTTGAGTTTATCAAGAGTATGAATAATACCTTTGGGAAGCAAGTAGAATGACATGAGGAAGACAGGAAGACTGGATAGCACAAAGTTGAGAAGGGTAATTCTTTCGCCAAAAGACAAGAGTCGATTTTTCCAGGAAGCAAAGTTTCTTTTTGAAATTCTCAATGAGATCTTTCCAAAAGCCCAGTCTTCTCAGATTGCCTCCCACCTTGATTCCTAGATATTTGAAAGGCATAGATCCCAATTGGCAGTTGAGTAGGCATCCCATTTTCTTGAGCCAATTAGAGTCTGTATCGATCCCCATAAGTTGGTTTTTTCTGTAGTTTATTTTCAGTCCAGAGACAATTTCAAAGGTCCTTAAAATGAACTTCTTTGCCCACAAGTTATTGTCGGTAGCCTTCCCACAAATCAGTGTGTCATCTACGAACTGTAGGTGAGTGACCTTTAATCTTTGTGTCCCAACTTCAATTCCCTTCAACAATCCTTGGTTTATAACTGAATCGATCAGCCCATTCAAACCTTCAACTGTTATGAGAAATAGAAATGGAGATAAAAGATCGCCTTGGTGGAGACCCCTACTAATTGAAATTTGTCGGGTAGTTGAACCATTAACAAGGAAGGAAACAGTACTGGTAGATAAGCATTCCATGATCCAATTTGACCACTTATCACTGAACCCCATTCTTTTAAGCATGTAGTTAAGGCAGCTCCAACTGACCTTATCAAATGCTTTTTTGAAGTCTAGTTTGAGTACGAAGCTGATTTTCCTTTTTCTTTTGGTTTCATCAATCACTTCATTGCCCACCAGGTCCCCATCGACTAGTAGTCTACCATTGACAAATGCAATTTGTTGGACCCAAATCACACTACCCATTACTAGTCTTATCCGATTAGGCTAAAAGCTTTGCAATGATCTTGTACATGGAGTCTATAAGTAAAATGGGCCTAAAATCTTCAATTTTCTAAGGGTTGAGTGTCTTTGGGATCAGGATAACAAATGAAGCATTGGACCCTTTTATTAGCTTCCATTCATATAGAATTCATCAATAAACCCAATGATGTCCTGCTTGATTACGTCCTACATATCTTTGAAAAACTTGAAATTAAATCCGTCACGACCTGGGAATTTGGAGCTATCACAATCCCAAACAGCTTTCCAAATTCCCTCTTTAGTAAATGTAGTAGTGAGCATGCATGATTCAACTTGAGAGATTTTTTTGAAATGGATGCCATCTAGTGTCGGCATTTCCCATCCTTCATCTCTAAAAATGTCTTCAAAATAATTGGCTATTCCTTCCTTTACCTCATCCACTTCAGTCAGCTGTTGACCCTTCACTTGAATGTAATTGATCTCATTTCTTCTGGTTCTCCCTCGAACACAATGATGAAAAAAGTTAATGTTGTTATCCCTTTCTGGCAACCATGTCTTTCTAAATTTTTGTCTCAAGATTCCTTCTTTGATTTTCATGCATTTCCCCAAGTTAATGAATGTCTGTTTTCTTTTCATGATTTCATCTTCTCTCAACTGTTGTGATTCTCCTCTTAAATCAAGATCTTCTATCCTCCGCTTTGAGTATGCAATCTTAGTCTCAATTTCTAAGTTAAAGTTGTTGCTTCATTGCTTCAGGGACTTCTTTAAGGCTTTTAATTTTTCCTTGAGACAGTAGCCTTTCCATCCCTGCACTTCAACAAAGGTCCAAGATTGAGTTAATAGCTCTTTAAGGCCTTTAGATTCCCACCATGCATCATAGAAACAAAAGGGCTTGGGTCCCCAGTCCTTGCACTGATTTTTTAGTAGAATCGAACAGTGGTCTGAACATGTTCTAGCAAGACACCATTGCCTCATATCTGGCCAAGTAGACAACCAATTTTCAAAGAAAAGAGCTCTATCGAGCCTACTCATTGATTGACGATTTGGTTTGTACCAAGTATACTTCCTCCCAACCAATGGCAAGTTAGTTAGGTTCAGATCATTGATGAACTCACTGAACTCCCTCATCTCAAGGGATAAGGATCTACAGCCCTTCCTTTCGTGCCGGTTTTTTACTGCATTAAAATCATTCAATATACACCAATTCCCACAAGATGAAGATGAAACAAGATTACTTAGTTCCTCCCACAATAATCTCTTACCCGTTAGCTCACATGGACAGTAGACATTGATGATGAAAACTGGGACTGCATTTTTGCCCCAAAAACTAAATATACCTAGAAAGTTGGTCCCCTCAAAAATTCTTTCTTTGTAAAAAATATCAAAATTCCAAATGCATAGAAGCCCTCCTGATCTACCAATTGAAGCCTTAGCTGCCCAGTCAAAATTATCAAACCCCCATAGAGATCTACAAGTTTTCCTGTCAATCAACTCTAGTTTGGTCTCTTATAAAGCAACAAATTCAACTTTTTCTCTGATTATAAGTCCTATGACTTCTTGTTGTTGTCCCCCACCACCCAACCCTCTTATATTCCATGACAACAAAATCATTTTAAAGTGGGGAAACTTACCCTTTCACCTCCAATTGCAGCCTCAATTGCTTTGTCTCTGATTTCTTTATCTTTGGCTTCTAGGTCATTAATCTGTTGAATTAGCTCCTCGCTTCCGTTCGTTGTAGCCCCTAAATTCTTGGCATAGTCCCAAATTCTCTAGCCATCTCATTCCTTTTTTTGTTTTGCTTGTATTCCTTTGTTACAATTCATGATATCACTGTCACCGAAAGATCCTTCAGCCACGTGTTTTTCATCAGATGAGAAAAATGTTGGAAAAAGATGCCCAACATATTGTCCACTATCTGGTCGTCCCCTCTTCTTCATTTTCTCTTTTGAAACCTACACAGCTTTGGAATTCTAGTAGACCTCGACACATGATCGAGCTTTCTTCCTCCTTCTTTTAGTGTTTTCGAGGTCCTACTCGCATATTAACACATCCATTCCTTGATTTCACCTGAATCGCTATCCATTTCTTCTTATAATTGCCTCTCCTTTAAGTTGTCTGCTGTATTTGTTTCGCTTAGCTGCTTTCTGTGGATTCTGATTGTAGTGTTCCCTGCATTGTTGTCCAGATTCATTCCCATTGAGGGGTTTTGGGTTGGCTTGACCATATCAGAATTGGGCTTAGAAGACCCATCCTTAAAGCCCAAGTCCAAGTTCCCATCAAAGCATGTGTTCAACTTTGGGTCCACATTATGTTGAATGCTGTTGTCCGTTGATGTTATTTGATCTTTATAACGGTTCTTCACCATTTTCGATGAGTCCTGAACCCAAGCAACCTCTTGAGGGCCCACTACAACTCTCTCTCCAATTTCAACAGGGATTTCAAAATCTTCGCAATTAATAGACTCTTCATCTTCTATTGTTTTCCTTGCCTCCACGTCCTCATTTTTTTCATCATTATGTATATTTCCCCGAAAAAAGTCAATCTATCCGCCGCCCGGGATGTTTGCTATGGGATTCACTGAGGAGTCACTATAGAGTGACCAAGAAACAGTGTCATCACCATCTATATCACTGTTTGAGAAGATGACGTGATCAAATTTCATAGAAAATAAGCTATTAGAGGTTTCTTCTTCCCTGATGACAATGTTGAAGAGTCGTCCATTGACCTTAATCGAAATGGATTTAGAGATAAACTCTTTAGAGGACGTTGAGATTAAGACTCTAGCCATGTCAAACCTAAGTTTCCTACTTGTACTATCGTCTAGTGATATAAATTTTCCCTAGAGACTCAAAATGGTTTCAAAGAATTTTGGCCTCCAAACATTCAAAGGAACTCCAAAGCATTTAACCCAAACTAATCCCTCGCTTGCAACTATTGAAGGAGAATATGGTTTGATCTCATCAAACCACTGATCTAGCCAATCTGTCGTGTTCTCCACCAGATCTTTCAGCTCCTCCTTATCCTCGCAACTTAGTAACATAAACCTACCTCCCATGGGTTTAACTGAACAAGCAAAATACCCCTCCATATAGAGTTTTTCTTGCATGGTTGGAATTAACTCAACTGATCTGATTGTTCCCACATAGCAACCATCAAGTCACGCAGAATCTTCCTTATTAACAGTGAACTCCAACCCAGACCATTACTTTCCTACTTTTCTTGGTTACCTGGTAGATCTGTGTGAATTAATGGTCTAAGTTGATGCCATACCAGCTTTTTGAAGATTCAAATTTTTGACCTCGCTCATTGGGCCTCTAAGTACATCTGCATAACTCCTTTGCATATTACAAGGTAGATCTATGTGAACAGGTTGCTTGCTTCGAAACTTCTCTCTTTGAAAATCACTGTCTCTTTTGCTGTATTTTGGAATATTGACTTGGAGTTTGACATTGCCAATCCAGATCTCATCGAGTTGTCTCTCTAGTTGTCTCTCATCTTTAACTTCAAGGAATCTAAAAAAACCAAACCATTTTCTGTTTTGTCTCTATGGTTTGGAGCATATATAGCATACACTCTGCCAAACTTGTGGAATGTATTCCACATCTCTTTATAACTCCAGTCATCAGGAAAGTTTGTGAAGTAGAATGGTGGGGCTTGCTTTAAGAGATTCAAATCGTAACCACCAAAATTCTGCCTCCAACCCCTTCTGCTGGTTCTTGATCTCTCTCGCTGTTGTTGTCGATTTTGAAATCATCGGTCCTGCCTTCGGTGAGATCCATACCCCCAACTCTGTGTTGTCTGTCGAGCTGACCGTCCTCTCTGTCTGCCTTGCATCCTTCTCAAAAAATTTACTAATAAAACTGTATTTGGTCAATGAAATATATCATAAAAACTAGAAACAGTTAAAACCACCACACATTAAAAGCACAAAATCAACGAGAACAAAGAAAAGATAATAGAAGAATGGATTATCCTCAACTCAAGTTTCCATCACGCTGCTTTCAGAAGGCCGTAGAGTTCCTTTCAAGTTCCTTTCGCAGTTGTCAATGGATGTAAGCTTCCAAATCAATTTTCTCTACTTTCCTTTTTCTTTGAGTTTATAATTAAATTGGAAAATGATTGGTACACCATCAGTTTAACACATTTTTTGGCATATTCTCAGTTTATTCATTAAAAATATAATATAAATACAGTAAATTCAATCGGTTCATGGATCCTATGTGCATAATTATATCATCAAATTTGTCTGTCTTTAATTTTAGATTAAAAAATAATAATTTTTTTAATGAGTATATCACACAATGTGTTGAACCGAAATATGTACCAATAATTATTTAATTAAATTACATTACAATGATATTTAAAGATGGATTCAAACTCCACATTTCTGACATTTATTAATACAAAACCTCTTCAAAATTCATTCATTGCTTTAATTTGCACATTAGAGAGGGGTTTATTTTGGTATTTTGTGAACTAATTAATTATTAAATTTAATCAAATAAATTAGATAGTTTAAAATTATAAATACCAATTAATAACTATTAAATATTAATTATAAGCTATTAATTATATTTAACAGTTAATTTAAACACATGTTTTTGAATTGATCTGCCATTCATTAAAAATTAAATAATCTTAATTGCTATTCCAATAAAAAAAAAATTCAAATTCCCAAGAATCTGAAACAATCCAATGCCAGCATAGATCTCCTTCTGCGGATCTTTACACGTGTCGCAAACCCACATTCACTCCTATAAAACCGCGATGAGTTACATCGTATTAGCAAGCCAAACGCAGCCAAACTAGTGGTAAAATAACTTCTTCCTCGGATGTTGCCAACGTCGCAGTTGGTGGACAAGGCCAAGAACTTCGTGGCGGAGAAGGTGGCCAACATAAAGAAGCCGGAAGCCACCCTCACCGATGTCAATATGAAGAACTTCAGCCGGGAAGGCGTCGAGTTAAACGCCAAGGTCTCCGTCAACAACCCATACGGCCATCCCCTTCCCGTATGTGAGGTCTCCTACGAACTCAAAAGTGCCAGCAGGTTACATTCACTTTTTTCCAGATCTGTTTTTGGGTGTATATATATAAAATTTTATGAATCGATGTAATTACATTATATGTATTGGGCGAAGTACAGGGCGATTGCGTCGGGGATATGCCGGATCCGGGGTCGTTGAAGGCGAGTGACACGACGATGCTGGAGGTGCCGGTGAAGGTACCGTACAGCATCATGGTGAGCTTGGCCAGGGACATTGGAGCGGATTGGGATATCGATTATGAGTTGGAGGTGGGTCTGACGATCGATCTTCTGATCATCGGGGACCTGAAAATCCCTCTATCCACCAAGGTCGAGATCAAGCTTCCTACTTTGTCCGATCTATTTTAGGGACGTTACTCCCATTTTTTACACTTTGTTAAATGCCAAATTTGGCTTAGAAACTCTCAATTTTGAACAAATTTCGTCCCTAAACTTTTTTTTTAATACTTTTTTCATCATTTAACTCTAAAAAATACATTTTTTTTTATCTTATATCAGTTAAGCCTATTCAAATATATATATTTAATTCCTAAAATTTTAATATATATATTTAGTTCATAAATTATAAAATTATGAATTGACAAGAGGATAAAAAAATGAATTTTTTAGAGTTGAATAACGAAAAAAATACAAAAAAAAAGAGTTGAGGGACAAAATTTACTCAAAATTAAAAGTTTATGAACCAAATTTGACATTTAAGCTTTACACTTTTGTTGTTTAAAATTAATTTGTTCTTTTTAGTTTGGACAACGGACATGTCAACACAAATGTTGGAAAACTATATTAATTACACTTAAGTTTAGACCGACCTTGGATGGGATCCCTTTTAAACAAATATCCACAGAAGACAATCAAATGCTGGTGGCACCATTTACTGAGGAACAGGTGAAGCAAACGATATGGGAATGTGACAGTAATAAAGCTCCGGGGCCAGATGGTTTTCATTTTGGCTTTTTAAAAGCCATGTGGAGCGAAATAAAGAAGGAGATATTGAATTTTGTGACAGAGTTCCAAGTTAACGGGAGAATGGTAAGAGGGTTGAATGCTGCTTTTATTGTAATGATTCCCAAAAAAGAGAATCCCCAGAAAATTGAAGACTTTAGGCCTATCTCATTGATAGGTAGCATGTACAAGATCATTGCTAAGTTGCTTGCCAACCATCTGAAAAGGATTTTGGGTAACATCATTGGTGAAGAGCAGTTTGCTTTTGTTGGGGATAGACCACTGATGGATGGGGTTCTAATTGCCAATGAAGTTGTTGAAGTGGTGAAAAGAAGAAGGAAAAGCTATATCATTTTTAAGGCTGATTTTGAAAAGGCCTATGATAACGTATGTTGGAGTTTTTTGGAATAGATGCTGAATATAATGGGTTTTTGCGAGACTTGGAATCTATGGATTCGTGAATGCCTCAAGACAAGTATGGTGTCTGTACTAGTGAATGGAAGTGCTACTAGGGAGTTTGGAATGAGCCGTGGTTTGCGACAAGGAGACCCATTATCACCTTTTCTATTCCTTATAGTTGCTGAGGGCTTGAATGGGATAATTTCAAGTGCAAAACAGAAAAATATGTTCAAGGGTGTATCAATTGGAGGTAGGGGCTTGATTGTTTCTCATTTGCAATTTGCGGATGATACTGTGATAATTGGGGATGCAACTGAGAGGAATGTGTGGGCAGTCAAAGCTATGATGAGAACCTTTGAGCTTGTTTCGGGACTTAGGATCAATTATAGCAAGAGCCAATTACTTAGCATAAATGTCGAAAAGGATTGGAGGGAAAGAATGGCAGACTTGCCAAACTGCACTGTGGGGGAGTTTCCTTTTAAATACTTGGGTATACCAGTTGGTGGGAATCTGAGAAGGCTAGCTATATGGTGCCCACTAATGGAGAGATGTAGAAACAGGTTGTCATTGTGGAATGGTCAGTTCTTGTCCTTTGGAGGTAGAATCGCTCTTATTAACTCCATGCTTTCAAGCCTACCTGTGTTTCTCTTATCAATGTATAAAATTCCAAGAGGGGTCATTGAGGAAATAGATACAATTCGTAGGAGATTCTTATGGGGGGAAGTGAGAACAAGAAGAAAGTGGCGTGGGTGTGTTGGGAAAATGTGTGTAGACTGTAGAGATAAGAATGAAGGTGGGCTAGGTATAAAAAACTTGAGGTGGTTTAATTTAGCATTGTTAGGAAAATGGCGGAATAGGTTGTTGGTAGGGGGTAATGAACTATGGAAGAGGGTGTTGAGAGAAAAATATGTGGATAATGAGGGAGATTGGATGAAACGGCTATGTCAAAGTAAAAGAGCAAGGTCGACTTGGTGGCAAGACATATGCAACATTAATAATGGGTGCCTTCATAAGAAAGAGTGGTTAGGCAAAGGGTTTAAAAGGGTGATAGGTGAGGGGAAAATTACTAGTTTCTGGAAGGATGTCTGGGTAGGGGAGCAGGAACTAATGAAAATATTGCCTAGACTTTTTTCTTTATCTACAGGAAAGAACAATTCAATTCATGGCATGGGCACTTGGTCGAATGGCAAATGGAGATGGACTTTCTTTTGGAGAAGACAACTCTACGAATGGGAAAAAGAATTAGAAGAAGCCTTGCTAAAGATGCTGGAACATGTACAACCAGTGGAGGGAAAAAAAGACAAATGGCAATGGCATTATGATAAGGAAGGCAAATATAAAGTGAAAGATGTGTACAACTTCCTACAGCCAACTAATAGTGTCAAGGAAACATGCTTCTTTAAGAAAACTTGGAATGCTTTGGTTCCACTAAAAGTTTGTGGGTTCTCTTGGCAATTGCTACAAAACAGGATTCCAACTAAGAAAAATTTGAGGAATAGAGACATTACCATAAGAGGTAACTCTGGTTCATGTACTATTTGTAATTTGGAGGATGAAAGCTGTGATTATCTATTCATTGAGTGCAAAGTTGCAAGGAAATTATGGATGGGATGCTTTCATTGGTGGAATATTTCTTATGTGCTAGATAATTCATGCAAAAATGTGTTTCACCAACATTATCTATTTGGAGGAACAAAAGAGGAGAGGAAAGCATGGGATGTACTTTGGTTTGCTATCATTTGGTCTCTATGGTTGCATAGGAATGGGCTGATTTTCAAGGATTTAGACGTGGAGGAAAATGGACTCCTGGAAATGGTACAAATGAGATCATATCAGTGGATCAGAAGCAAAACAAAGTTTTGTGCTTTTTCATTTCCAGAGTGGCAGCTGAATCCGAAGGAATGCATCAAAGCCTTGCAACTATGACAGGTTTGTTGATGAAGGGGATGTTTTCTGAGTTTTAATGGCTGGTTTTTCATTTAAAGATTCCACAAGGTCTATGTTTTCTAAGTTGCCCACAGTAAGGAAAGAAAGCAATTGATGTTTATGGGTTGGGAGTATCTTTTATACTCCATTTGAATAAAAATTTTTGCTGTTCAAAAAAAATTACGCTTAAGTTTAAGAACATGTTTTATAAACGTATAGTTGAATTACTTCTTTACACATGCAAATTTCAAAAGTCTCTACTTCTGTCAACATAGTCAAGATC